AGGAGAAACTTCCTAACAGTGGGAACAACCAGTGGAACCACTTGCCACCAGAAGTTGTGGGTGCTCCATCACTGGAGGTTTTTAAGAAGAGACTGGACAGCCACTCATCTGAAAAGGTATAGGGTCTTCTGCTTGAGCAGGGGGCTGGACTAGAAGACCTCCAAGGTCCCTTCCAGCTCTATTCTGCAAACAGGGATCATATGACCCCCAGGACACTGCGACCGTCATAAACATGAAGCAGTTGCTAAGCCTCTGAATTTCGATCCCATGATCATGGGGATGCTGCAAAGGCCCTAGCTGTGAAAAATGGTGATAAGTCACTTTTTTCTCTGCCGTTTGTAACAGCCACTCAACAAACAGTTGCGAGTCGAGGACTAGCTGAAGAAAACAACAGCGTTCTAAAAGTTCTAAAACAAGAACCTGTGACTCAACATTATGAGCGCTTCGGTCCTCACGTGCTACCTTGAATTCCACCAGCCGCTCCACTTCTTCCAAGCTTTCCAGGAGGTCACCAAGCACGGAAGCCAGGAGGTCCTTCTGCTCACCTATTTTTCCCCGTCTCCAGTTGGAAGAGCTCGTCGCAGTGGGCCATCATTTTCTCGGTGAGCGTGTAGAGACGCAAGGCCGGATACATCTCCTTGACCTTCGCCAGCATGCGATAGACCAAGCCGATCTTCTCCCGCCTCATCAACCTGGGAGGACCCCAGATGATGTAGGTGGTGTCGCAGGACTGCTTGAAGAAGTAGCTCTGGTTGCGGAGCAGCAAAGGGATGCTGGTGTGGGAGACCACCCGGAGGGTGCTACGGCTGCCCACATCTTCCTCGTAGCCCTGGGTGGGCGCCTGGTTCATACGCAGGACACATTCCTTGGCGTCAATCTCCTTCCCCGAACGGGAGCCCAGCATCTGTCCAGAACTGGACACCACGGCGCACTGGCGGCAGGGCACCTGAGCCAGGGGCTAACCAGAAGAGACAGAAAAAATTAGAAGATGTGTGGAGAACAGGCCGTAGCATTGCTCTCTACACTAGAGGTCCCCAACCCTGGTCCGTGGACCGGTACCGGGCCGCGGCATGCCAGCAACCAGTCCACACAAACAAGCAAAGCCCCATCCGCGGGATGCAGGCAGCAGACAAAATCACGCACTCTCTGGTCCGTGGAAAAACCTTTCTCCATGGAACTGGTCCCTGGTGCCCAAAAGTTCGGGGACCTCTGTTCTAGGATAAAATTGGGGAGTGGGATTTTTCGGCCAAGCGATTTCCCCCCCCCCTCTACCAACGTTCAATTTTCTTTCCCACCCTTTCTCCAAACTGGCTTTGCGACGTAGTCAATTCCGAACGGTTATATAATGTTATACCCCGACTTCAAGATGTGTGGATTTCAACTCCCAGAATTCATGCTGGCTGGGGAAGTCTGGGAGTTGAAGTCCACACGTATTAAAAATTGTCAAGGTGGAGGAACACCACTCTAAGCAATGAACTTCAAATTTCATAGCAAGGAAGGAAGGAAGGAAGGAAGGAAGGAAGGAAGGAAGGAAGGAAGGGAGTTGGAGAGGGAACAAAAGATTGCTTTTAATACCAAAAAGAAAAGAAAGAATATAATGAAAAACAGAACAAAATATATAAAAATGGGATGGATGGATAGATGGAAGGAAAGAAGGAAAGGAAGGGAG